GAGTTGGCCGTGGCGAGTTGGCCCATTCCATCCTCAGTTAGCTCTGCTATCCCAGTGACATCATGCCCTTCTAAAGCTGGGATAAGCTGGGATTGACTGGGTGCTCAGTTCTGCAAGATGCGTTGGGCGTCCTTTGTGGCTGATTAGCAAGATGAAAAGGCTTTATTTAAACAAATAAATGCAAATATTAAATAGATGATCACCACCATCAGGTCATGTTCAGGTGCTGCTTGTTTGTTTATGAAAAATTTTTATGGCCGCCCAACTTACTTTCAGAGATTCTGGGTGGCTTACAAAGAAAGCAGCTGCTAGCAGTGGAATCACATCATCTACCAGCTCAGAAACAATCAATTTTGCCTTCACTCTTTTTTCTTTATTTTTGGCACCCAGACCCTCTTCCATTCAAACCATACCCTTAACCAGGTCACTTGCATTCATATGGTGTGCTCTGCTTGGATAGTAATAAACCTAGGTTTCTCATTGCTTACATGTGCAGCTGGGACCACGCATCTGCAAGGAAGGGGTGTTTGTCAAAAAAAACTCATTGCATTGGCCACCACTCTGCAATCAAAACTCTACCCTTTTTACACGTGTCAAAATGCACAATCAAGGGTGGAGGATTGCTTGTGTGGTTGACTGTTTCGACCACTTTGTGGACACTTCGCAATGCAGGCAAGAAAGATTGGGCCTTTCAATGCATGGCCATGTTGACTATTTTACTTCCTTTGGAGACACTTGACAAATCCAGTTGTTTTATGATTCTGAAAGGGTTAAGCATGTATAGAACATGAATCAAGGTCCCACCTAATGGTAGAACTAGTTGTGAAGTTTGTTTCTTAACACCGTTCTTCTGGCTCAGCGCTGAAGAGTAAGATGGGAGAAGGCAGATCATGAATGGTCCAAATCAGGGGTCGCCAACCTTTTGGACCTCAGGGACCACCAAACTCATAATTTTAAATCCCACAGACCACTAATATGAATTTTGACTGACAGTGGCTTGCTGACAGCTTGCAGAAAGCAGCAGAGACCCTGGGAAAACCCCAAAAGAAGTCTGCAGGAAAAATCCCCACCCCGGTTTTCTACCGATCGATCATTCTTTATTTGAGATTGCAGGAAACCGTCTCCAGCTCCATTCTGGGGGGGGGGAGGGGGAGGAGAGACTTTTGCCTTTATGCAAGGAAAGCAGCAGAAGCAGCAGAAGTCTTTCTTTCTCTCTCTCTCCCAAACTCTGCCAGAAATGAGTCTTTGCTGGCACAGCCTCTTGGAGCAGGATGCCTTGCAGGGTCCCAAAGACTCATTTCTGGCAGAGTTTGGGGGAGAGAAAGGAAGACTTTTGCTGCTTTCCTTGCGTGCAGCCAAAAGCAGAAGAAGGAAGAAGCAGAAAGAAGCAGCCTGGTGGCCAGGCAAGGTGCATGGGGCAAGTTCCCCCCTCTGCCCTTTCCCCCCTTCCCTCACTATCTCATGTTGTTCACAATGCGACACACGCTTTGTGTTTCCGTAGGCCATGTGGGCAGCGCAGCCTTGTGTTCCCGCACAGCCTGGATTAATTGCTTTGGATGTGACATTTCTCTGCGGACCACTAGTGGTCCCTAGGACACTGGCTGGCGACCACTGGTCTGAATTGTCTCCTTGACTGGTCTCAATTTCCCGCAGCTTTCCCAAACTTGGGCAGTTGAAATGGCTGCAGTGAGTTGGTGCCCAACTACACCCATTTGAACTGTCCAAATTCCCAGCAATGGGCACAATCTGGCTGAGAAAAATCTGTAAGCTGAAATCCACCCAGCTGGAGCCCAGAGTGGAGAAGGTGGGTCTACGCACAACGGCCCCACTTGGTGTGTGACTTAAAAAGATGTGTGACCTCAACCAGTTGTGGCTTCTTCAAAGGCCTGACTTAGGCACAGGAGGTGAACGCAGCCAGGCCAGAAGCAAAAACTTTAGAATATTTCATATATTAGCTACTCTTTTTCTTCTGGACGACGTCTTCCATTTTTCACACCACGGGAGATAGGGCCGCACCATGCCAAACTTTTTCTAGCGATTGAATTTCCTTTTATTGCCCAACATTCTTTCTGTGCAAAAAAGAACGGGTGAGGAGGTGGTGGTGGGAGAATGTCCTGGGGTGTGTTTTTCAGCCTCCTGTGCCATGTTTATTCACAGGCCACCAATGTAGCAAGCAATTGGCTGTATCAACTGTGTGCCCTGGTGCCAATGATCTGATTCCCCGGGGGGTGGGGGGGGGGGGGGGGGGGGGCGGGGGGGGGTTATGCAAACTTGTTTCTGCAAGACTTTCAAATTGTTCTCTTTCTTCGTGCCAGCCCCGGCTTCACTGCAATGGAACTTGCATGATGCAATGCAAGTCTCCAGCTACGCCTAAGGAAGGGCCACCACATCCAGCAAAGGCAACGGAATCGAGTGTGTGTGTGTGTGTGTGTGTGTTCGAACACCAGGATCACTTTATCTTCTGAGACACCTGAAGTGGGAACGTTTTCCATGTGACAAAATACGGGGGGGGGGGGGGGGTTTTCAGTTTTCTGCCGGTTTTATAGCCCACGCTGCTGCCGGGGTGATTCAAAACAAGCAGGAACACAATGTTGTCCTTGTGGGGGGAAAGGCGGCTCGGAGAATCCTTTTCTAATTTTGCTCTATGACACACGCATTTCTTACGCTGAAGTGCTGACCAGAACACACACTAGCAACCAGAGTCCACGTGTTTCATTTGGTGCTTGGGTTAAAATAGCAGAGAGAATGCAAGGAGTAAATAGGTATTTTTGAGTATTTAAATAACATCTTGGCTGTTTCCTAAGATCCCCAGGAAATCATCCCAGAGGCCATGGAATATTTTAAATTTCTTTTTCAAGAAGCAAAGTGCAAGATCAAGGAATACCCTGAAGAGAAACAAAACGCCTTGCATAGAGAAGTCAATGCCAATGTCTGCAAATGCAGCCTGAAAACCTCTGCATGGACATCTGGGAACCACAAATAATAAAGGTAGTCCTCAACTTGCAACCATTCAGTGACCATTTGAAGTTACAACAGCACAAAAAACAGAACTTATGACCATTTTCACAACTGTTGCAGCATTCCCATGGCCGTGATCAAAGTTCAGATGTTTGGCAACTGACTCATATTTGTGATGGTTGCCGTATCCTGGAGTCATGCGATCACCTTTTGCGACCTTCTAACCTTCCAACGTGGTGCTCAGTGGCTAAGACGCTGTGCTTGTCGATCAAAGGTCAGCAGTTTGGCGGTTCAAATCCCTAGTGCCGCGTAACGGAATGAGCTCCCATTACTTGTCCCAGCTTCTGCCAACCTAGCAGTTCAAAAGCATGTAAAAAATGCAAGTAGAAAAACAGGGACCCCTTTGGTGGGAAGGTAACAGCGTTATGTGCGCTTTCAGCATTTAGTCATGCCGGCCACATGACCACGGAGACGTCTTCGGACAACGCTGGCTCTTCGGCTTTGTAACGGAGATGAGCAGCGCCCCCTAGAGCCGAAAACGACTAGCACATATCTGCGAGGGGAACCTTTACCTTAACCTTCTAAAGTCAATGGGGAAGCCAGATTCACTTAACAACTCTGCTTCTAACTTCTAACAAGGTAGGTCATAAAATGGGGTAAAATTCACTTAACTGTCTCACCCAGCAACAGAAATTTAGGGCTCAATTATGATTGTAAGTTGAGGACTACCTAAGTACCTGTATTGACTGCGAAGCAAGAAGGACCAATGGACTGTCCATGTGTCTCTTTCTGGTCCAGTCGTCCCTCCAGGGAGGCTCTGGTTTCCCATCCAAATGATCTGGCATCCGTTTGTTGCTACGCTCTTATTTAGAACATAGAATCCAGGGCGGGACGGGACCTCGGGGGTTGGGTGGGGTGCCTTCTAGTCCAAGCCCCCCCCCCCCCCCCCCCCCCAGCAAGAGATCTCATACCAGTGGCCCCAAAACTTTTGAGCACTAGGGACCGGTGCCGCGGAGAGAGGGTTTCCCACGGACCGGAGGTGGCATAGTTTCGCGTGCTGAGGATGGGGCTTCACTTGATTGCGTGGATCAGTTTCTGGCATGCCACGTCCCACTGCCAGTCCATGGAACCAGGGCTTAGGGACCCCTGCCTTGTACCATCCTGGTCAAATGGTTGTCCAGTCTATTTCAACAAGACATCAACAGGTAGGGCTCAATTATCGGACGGCGGTGTTAGAGAAAAGACGATGAGTTTGCCTATTTTTCACTTAGGAAGTGAAGTCTGTTGCTTTTTCTTACACATTATCCTGGAAAGCTATGGAAATGCAGCGCTACGAACATCTAAGATCCCTCAAATTCCCAGGCTTATGGGGGAGAACCCAAGATTGAGAGACATTGGCCATCCAAAGGAGTGAAAAGGGTTTTTTTTAAAAAAGAAAAACATATGTACAATATACATATGTATAATCTCCTTAAACCAAACTCGCCTGTAACTCAACTTTTAATACGAGCAGCTACTGACCCCTAGAGGCAAGCAGAATAATTACCTGTTCTTATGCTCTCTTCTAACAGTCACTTTATTAACCTAAACTGTAGCTCAAATGGTACAGATTTGGGCTCTTTAAGTCAAATATCATATGCATTTGGATCTGATGATACCCACGATTCTGGTACAACTCACTGTGGTATACTATCCAACTGTGAGATGGAAATATTGAACATGTGGAACTAAGGAATTTTAAGAACAAACAACTTTACTGTGTGAATCGCTGAGTTCCTCCATTTTCTCAGGAAAAAAGACCCCAAATTATTGTATAGTCGTACTCATATCAGTGGGAAAAATGGCCCAGTGCATCTAGGGAGAGAATAATGGGTTTTTGAGATCAATGGTTTGTTAGGCTCAGGGCTCTTCCTGCTAACGATGTGAAGAATTCTACGCACCACCATAGCAGTTTGCAGAAGAAAAATACGGGAACAATTTTCTTTTAATTTGACAAAGCAAAATAGACGTGGGCAAAGTCTCTTGTACAAAATTATAAGGCTTCAGTCTTCTATTTTTTCTAGCGCTTCCATATCCTCTGGATCAAGGCGCTGGATCAAGATCTCTGAAGAGAAGAAATAAATTTGCAGCTGACTTTTTGGAAAGGCACAATAAGCCACTGAATTGCAGTAGGTGCAGGTAGTCCTCGACTTACAACAGTCTGCTTAGACTGCTTAGTCTGCTTAGTGACCATTCAAACCATAGTCACATGATTCCCATTCGGATGCTTGACAACTGACTCACATTTATGACGGTTGCAGTGTCCTGGGATCATGGGATCCCCTTTTGCAATCGGAAACCAGATTCACTCAACAACCACCGTGTTACTGCTTTAAGAACTGCAGTGATTCACTTAACCAATGTGGCAAGAAAAGCCGTAAAGCAGGGCAACACTCACTCAACTCATTTCTCACTGAGCAACATAAATGTTGGATTCAATTGTGATCGATGAGGACTAGCTGTACACCTTCTGAGGTTTGTGACACAGCACTGCCTACACTACCCTTTCTGCCTGCCAGGCTCCAAATTCTATTTTTACACCCTTCTGAACAGGGGTGGGATTCAATTTTTTTTTACTACCGGTTCTGTGGGCGTGGCTTGGTGGGTTTGGCTTGGTGGGCGTGGCAGGGGAAGGATATACTGCAAAATCCAAGTGCTAAGGCAGGACTTCCCTCCCATCCTTTCATTATAATCTTCCTCCCTCCCTCCCCTCTTCATCAGTGGTGGTGTTCACATTTTTTTTTACCACCAGTTCTTTGGGCGTGGTTTGGTGGGCGTGGCATAGTTTGGTGGGCGTGGTGTGGCTTGGTGGGCGTGGTGTGGTTTGGTGAGCGTGGCATGGTTTGGTGGGCTTGGCAGGGGAAGGATACTATAAAATTTCTATTTCCACCCCACTCCTGGGGGAAGGTTACTGCAAAATCCCCATTCCCTCCCCACCTCACTAACTCGCTTTTCAGCTCCGTTCTCCTGTGCAGGGCAACCAAAGAAGACCCAGCTGATCAGCTGGGACTCAATGGGAGGCAGAGAATAGATGCGGTTGGCGGAGTCAGCCAGAGGTGGGTTTTGCAGGTTCTCCAAACTACTCAAAATTTCTGCTACCGGTTCTCCAGAACTGGTCAGAACCTGCTGAATGCCACCTCTGGTTCTGGTTAAAATAAACTGCAAAACAAACCCACCTGTGGCTAAGATAAGCTGTTTTCAAGAACGCCTCTATCCCCTGTAGGCTCAGGATGGAGGTTCGTTCGTTGAGCTTGCAGGTTGGTTTCCAAACATTTTGTTACCAGGCTAGGTAAGTAACATCTTCAGGGGAGTTTAGGGGATGTCAGTGTTGGTGGTTCCTCTGGTTATGATGGCTTTGTGTGGTCAGTGGGTCTGGTGATGGGAGGGTCACGTCAGGTGAGGGGCTTCGTCAGGTGAGGGGCTTGTGATGGGTCAGGTTTGGGTCAGGCCAGGTGAGGGTCATGATAAGTCTTGTGATGGGTCAGACGTAGAGCACATCAGGTGAGGGCCTTGTGACAGGTGAGGTGTGGGTCCTCGGTAGGCATTCTAAGAAATTCAGACGGGGCATGGATGTGGACCATGATGGGTTTGGGAGAGGACCACCTGCTCAGAGAAATGGCCATTTGATTTAAAGTGAATGACATTAAGAATTATTGCCAAATTAAAGGGAGGTGATTCTATCTCTTTGTGCCTCTGATCTTCCAAGCACTGCAGCCTTCAGAATTTCCTACCTTACAGCTCTGGGGCAAATTAAAAGCCGATGAAGCTTCTGACTATCTATCTATCTATCATCTATCTATCTATCTATCTATCTATCTATCACATGACCACCACCACCCTTGTGGGGTTTTGGCCCAGGGATCTTATCACACTCACTGAAGTGATTCTGGATCTCCAGCAGGAGAGGCAAGTTCTGCCTTTCCACCATGTTGAACGCCAGACCCTTCTTCCCAAACCGGCCTGTTCGACCGATGCGGTGGAGGTAGGCCTCAAAGTCAGGGCCCCGGAACACTGTGGTAGGCAAGGTAAAGTTGACCACGATGGTGACCTGCATCACGTCAATGCCTGGGGAGAGATATAGACAAGAGAGGATCCATATGCCTGGGCAGCAACAGCAAAAAACAGGGCGTCATGGCCTCCTCGGAGCCCGCTTCAGAGAAGGAGGAAGAGCTGGGACCACCTGACGGGGATGGCAGGTCTCCCTTGGAAGGATTGGAGAGGCTAGGAGCTGAGGACGATGCTGTCCCAGGCCCCTCAGGCATTGGGGGAGGCGGTCGAGTGGATGGAGAGCTGCCTGCCCTCACAGACACAGGTAGGGATCGGCTGTAGACAGGCAGCAGATCCGCCCTGATGAAGAACAGCTGCCTCCCCCACTTGATCCAAGGGCACGGAGAGTAGAGAGGAGGCAAGCTCAAAGGAGAGCCAAGGCTACTCGGGACAAGGTCGTCCCACCTCTCCTCACAAGGAACACTTGGTGTGGGTTGACTTAAGGAGAAGCAATGGGGAGGAGTTTGCCTTTGTCAGGAACAATTGTCTGCTTTGCCTTACTCTCCGCCCAGTGTTAGAAAATGTCAGCCTTGACTCGAGTGTTTCTGCCTCTGCCTTGCCCCGTGGGATTGCACCTTCTCTTTGGGCCTCCTCTCTGCCTTTGCCAATTGGTTTTTGTGATTTACTGGGTTTTGTTTGTGTTGTGGTTCACCGGCAGCAGGTGCGGATGGCAGCGGTCTCTGAGAGTGAGGACTCAGATGAGGGGCGTGCGTGTGATGCAGGGATGGGGCCAGGACTATCGGAGAGTGGGGTGCTGCCTTCGGAGGTCGTGGAGTCTGGCAGCAGTGACGAAGAGGACCCCGAGCTTTTATACATACTTTTGTGTTTGTTTGATAGGAACAAGGCTTGGGTCAGAATAGTGTGGGACTGAGGGCGGCTGCCTTCAGGGAAGGGTGGGGTGGAGCCTTACCGGCTGTTGTAGGGCGTTTTCTTACGGCATTTATTTAACAGGGCAATAAAGGACTCTTATCGATGCCTGCCTCCACCTAGGCAGGCGACCTGAGTCCTAACTCAGGGAGAGCTTCATCTACCGGAACTGTACCTCTGGCGCAGATGTTGGTTGTGATGAGAACTTTGAATTTCCCATCGCGGAACTGCTGGATCACATCTGCCCGCTGTTCAACTGTCAGCTCCCCGATCAGCAGGGACACCTGGTGCCCGTCATTTCTTAGGGCGTGATACAGCCATTTAGCATTGTAGCGAGTCTGTCAAAAGTACACAAGAGAAGAGTGTGGCACAAAGGGAATAAACAGTCCACCGGCTGCGCTTTTGACGCACTGTAATGTATCCCTTTACAACCCACCCGATGGAAATTAGGTTCCAGGAGGAGAAGCAATAAATAAAAACATGGAACCCAGGAAGCAGCTTACTACAGCCATCCACTCTTCTTTCTTCTTCGGTCTCTCACGGCCACTGTTAACAAGAATGGCATTTCTGCATCAATATAAACCGACTGAAAATGCTATGGGCTGCTTGGTAGCTGCTGGGTGTGTCCCAGATTCAGTGGTGAGGCATCTGCAGGAAGATGCCTGAATCTAGCCAAATTCTAGCCAGGTGTAACGGGCAGAAGAAAAGGAGGGACAGGAAGAAAAACCGCTTACCAAGACAATGCTTGGATAACAGGAACCTGAGTCAGGAAATGAATTGTAATGTGCACAGGTAGACCTCGACTAACAACAGTTAGTTCGTATAGTGACCATTCGAAGTTACAACAGCACTGGAAAAAGTGACTTATAAAACCATTTGTCACACTTATGACTGTTACGTCATCCCCGTGCTCACGTGATTCATATTTGGATCCTTGACAACTGACTCAGGTGTATGACGGTTGCAATGTCCCAGGTGTCAACTCATAAAACATTCCTATGCCTCTTTTAGTAGTTGCCATAAAAAAAGGGGGGGAGGGGAGGAAGGAAATCCGGAAGAGCAGTGCAGCAGTTTGAAAGCGGAAGTACATTCCAACTCTTATCTTTAAAAGGTTGTAACTACTGACACCCAGCCCATGAACCTGCTCAATTGGAGAATCTGATTTATGACACACCCGGGGGGAGGGGGGAAACAGGGTCACAGGGGACTGTAAATTCCATATGCCAGAGTTGGCTCCATACAGGGCAGTGCCAGTATGTCACCTCTAATGAATCCTTTGAAAGTTTTTGAAGTTTGGCTCGGGAATCATGATTTAATTAGGGAGATTGCTGGAACCCTGACACCAGGGTCACATGATCCCCTTTTGGGACTTCCTGACAAGCAAAGTCAACGGGGAAAGCCAGATTCACGTGACTAACAGCAGTGGCTCACTTGCTACCAGAGGGCATAAAATGGGGCGAAGTTCCTTAACCAATTTCTCAGTTAGCAACATGAACTTTGACTTTCGTAAGTCGGGGACTCCCTGCTGGAAAGCCTCAGATAAAACCCTCCCTGGTTCCATGGAGGGAGCGGGCGGGAAGCACTTTCAGGCCTGCAAGGTTTCATCCCCGTGACTTTATGGTAAAAGCAGAACTGGGCTGCACAACTCTTTGGGCTCCTAGACTGGTTTTCACCCTGGAAGGGCCAACCACAGAGCACCTCACCTGGCAGAAAATGATGGCCTGGCCGATGGTGATGCTGCCGTAGATGTTGCACAGGGCCCTGAATTTGTCTTCCTTGTTCTCACACTCAAAGAAATACTGCCGGATGTTGCTGAGGGTCAGCTCCTCTCGGCGGAGGGAAATGACGTTGGGCTCAGGGATGATGCGCTGGGCAAACCTTAGCACAGGCTGCTCAAAGGTTGCGGAGAAGAGAAGCAGCTGGCAATCGGAAGACAAAGCTCTACGGGGAAAAGTTTTTAAAGAAAGAATAATTCCGACATACAGGGATCAAAGGAGACGACATTAAGTCCCCAGGGGAACTTTTCTGCATCGGCCCTTGGCCAAGATTCCCACAAAGGAAGGAACGTGTTTCACAGAGCCTGCAGCCCAGTGGTTTTTTCCATGCATGAGGTTTCCAGATCTGATCTTCAGTGCTTCTAACGACAGAAAATTGCTCATCAGCACAGACCTGAAGGGTAGAGTTGGAGACAACTCTCCACGGCCAACTCACTGCAGGACAATTTAACAATTCTATTTTTTAATTACTTTTAAAATAAATAAATAAAATATTTTGATTTTTGCCCATTCCCATTTCATTCTGTCCCTCCTTTCGCATCCTTTCTTCAATGGCTCTATTCCACTATTTCTTTGGTATTCGTGTGATTCTTGTCCTAGAGTGAGTTGGACGTGGTGAATTGTTATTGACATATCCAACTAATAGCATTATAGCAATAGCACTTAGACCAGGGGTCCTCTAACTTTGCAACTTTAAGACTTGTGGACTTCAACTCCCAGAATTCCTTACCCAGCATGCTCTATTCCAGAGGTCCTCAAACTTGGCAACTTTAAGACTTGTGGACTTCAACTCCCAGAATTCCTTAGCCAGCATGCTCTATTCCAGAGGTCCTCAAACTTGACAACTTTAAGACTTGTGGACTTCAAGTCCCAGAATTCTTCCTCCAGTCATGTTAGCTCAGGAATTCTGGGAGTTGAAGTCCACAAGTCTTAAACTTGCCAAGTTTGAAGACCTCTCTTAGACTTATAGCACTTAGTATGAGACTATATAAAGCATGCAGAAGCTGAGTTGGTGCAAAATGCAGCGGCCTGTATGGTTTTCTGCAGACCTTGGGGGGCACATGTGTCACCTCTCCTGCGGGGGCTGCATTGGTGGCCGATTTGCTTCTGGGTGCAATTCAAGGTGCTGGTTGTCACCTTTAAAGCTCTTCATGGCTTAGGAGCAGGTCATCTGAGGGACCGTCTCTTGCCGGTCACATCCACCCGACCCACTAGAGCGGGCAGGTAAGGAATGTCGCAGGTCCCATTCCACAAGGAGATACACCAGAAGAAGGGCCTTCTCGGTGGTGGCTCCCTCTGAACATCATCCCTCCGGAAATTAGACTGGCCCCCACTCTGAGACTCTTTCAGAAGGCCCTGAAGACATGGTTTTGCCAGCAGGCCTGGGAAACCCAGAGCAGGGTGGAGCCCATTAAATGAATGGCTGGTATGTATGTGTGTGTGTTGTTGTTGTTGGGGAGAGGATTATTATTTTATTATTTTTATCTTTTATTATTTTTTACTTCTTTTATATTGTGTTTTTATTTCCTGTAAGCTGCCTTGAGTCACCATGAGTAGGTGGCAATTTAAATTGTTCAAATAAATAAATTCCAAATAAATATACCACTTCATAGTGCCTTACAGCCTCTCTAAGCGGTTTACGGAGTCAGCAATATTGCCCCCAACAATCTGGGTCCTCATTTTACCCACCTCGGAAGGATGGAAGGTTGAGTCAACCTTCAACTGATCAGGATCGAACTCCTGGCAGTGGGCAGAGTTAGCCTGTAATATTGCATTCTAACCACTGCGCCATCACGGCTCTTGGGGGTGGTGATTTCATAGATCAAAGGCGAGCCAAGGTCTACTTGGACTGCAGTATCCATGATCCCTCCCTTATGGGCCATGCTGGTTCAGTTGATGGCAACCAGAACTCAGAAGTCCCGAAGTTTTATGGTCCCGGGATAAACAGAGCAATGGTCCATTGACTCCGTGGGGGCAGAAGAGAGAAGAACCCAGAAAGCTCTCAAATCGGAGACAGGAAGATAGTGCATGGAAAAGAAATGTGGTACAGAAATTTTAAGAGGGGCATTGTATAATTGAAGTGACCAATGACTTGAGTGATTTTGCAGCAGATACCATGACAAACAGTAGGCATCAAAAGTTGTCAATCAACCCAGCTTCTTGCAAAGCTCGGAAGCAAAAGTGCCAACACATCCATGCTTTTCTTCCATTCCACATTTGAAGCAGCATTTGTTTAAACCTGAGATCTGCTTTTGCCCTGGCAGAGATAAGAATCTTAATGATTTTCTCAATAATATAAATCCGTAAGAGTTTTTTTTTTATTTACATCATCTGTATTTTTACAACTGTCTTTGGATGATGCATGGCATTGAGGCAACTTGGGAAAAGTTAAATATTCAGGATGTTTAGTAGTAGAAAATAAACTCTTGTTCAGAAACAAAAATAAGAACATGTTTTACCTCTGGATACGAACACTCTGATCCAAGAAATTCTGTTTATCAATCATGACATCTGCTTCATCCAGCACATACACTCTGATCTTCTTCATATTAAAAAGCTTTAGCTTAAAACACCAATCTAGCAAGGTCCCTGGTGTTCCAATTATTATTTGTTCTCTTATTGAAGTCCCCCTTGGAACTAAGAAAAACATACTCATGTAAAAAGCATTATTTGCTGCAATGAAAAAAACATAAGACTATATAGTAGCATTTTTGTTTTTTTGTCTTGTTCAGAATGAGGGAAATATGAAATTGGATGGATAATTAGGAACCTCAAATCAACAGAATAACAGATTGGAAGGAACCTTGGTGGTCATCTAGTCCAACCCCATTGTCAAGCAGGAAACCCTATACATTTCAGACAAATGGTTGACAATCTTTTCTTTAAAAACCTCCAGTGTTGGAGCACTGACAACTTCTGGAGGCAACTCATTTCACTGACTAATTGTTCTAGCTGTCAGGAAATTTCTCCTTAGGGTCTTCCAGGTCAATTTCATATTTAAGGAAGAAACCGAAGAGAATGTTGGGCACCCTACAAGATTGCTATGAAGGCAAAACAAATGTGAGAATAAACATTGTTAATCTTATTGAACCCCAAAAGAGAAACAGAGCCATACTGAGCTTGTGTGCCTTCTTTTTCACAAAGGTAGGCATGAAGGTAAGTCTCTTGGTGCCATCCAGATATTTTGGACACCTAATTAGATGCAACTTGGTCTGCCGGCTGAGACTCACAGGATTTGTAATACTGTACGGAATATATGGAGGGCATTGTATTACCTACTCTGGACAAAAAGAAGTATGAAGAGAATGAGTTTACGTCATGGCCCTCATACTATCCAAAAAGCAACAGACAAGTTCTTCTAAATATATTTGCATCTAATGGAAGCTCATTGTGACATTTCTAGAGTATGGTTAAGCCAATGTTACCAAATGTTTTGGTGGAGTACAAATAACTACATATTGCAATCTAACATAGAAGAAAGTAATTCCTAATATTTTCTGGTTGTAAGAAAAAATACAATTATTTTCCCTATTTATCCACAATGTATTAAATTAAATTTGTTAAAATGTAAGGCTGGCCATCACAACTCTAAAAACCAAATTGGGTTTGTCTAGTTTAGTGAAAAGTAGGACTAGGGCTGACATGATAGCAGTGCTCCAATATTTGAGGGGCTGCCACAAAGAAAAGGGAGTCAAGCTATTCTCCAAAGCAACTGAAGGCAGCACAAGAAGCCATGGGTGGAAACTAATCAAGGAGAGAAGCAACCTAGAACTAAGGAGAAATTTCCTGACAATTCATTCAACCAATGAAACACCTTCAGAAGTTGTGGGTGTTTCAACAATGGAGGCTTTTAAGAAGGGGCTGGACAACCATTGTCGAAAATAGTCTCCTAATTGAGCAGGGGGTTCTACTAGATTCACTAGAAGACTCCCAAGATCCCTTCCAACTCCATTATTTGTAAATTACAGCAATACAAACCCCACCCCCGCAATATTTGGACAAATTAACATGGACAGCACAGAAAATTTCCAGGTCTGAAGCAAAAATCATCTAGGAGAATAAAAAATGGAACTGTAATATTGTTCTTAGCAACTGAAAAGATTCCTACAAGAGTTTTTTAAAAAAAAAACTGTGGAAGAATCCCCTATATGAAGCGGAGATACTGTCCTGAGTATGCATCGGGGGAGGTCGGCAACATTGTGTTTTACAAAATAAGTACAGAAGTATTAGCACAATGAAGAGCAGGTGGAAATGCATTGCAGAGAGAGAGAGACCCTGAACATTAGGGTGATGGATTTTTACTGGAGGAGGACCCAGGATCAAGTAGATCTTCAGTCATGAAAATTCACTGGGTGACTCTGGACCAATTATTCCCTTTCAGTCCAACCCACTTCAGAGGGTTATTGATTAGGAGGTAGTGCTTCTTAATCTTGGCAACTTTAATATGCGTGGATTACAACTCCCAGAATTCCACAACTCCCAGAATTCCACAACTCCCAGAATTCCACAACTCCCAGAATTCCACAACTCCCAGAATTC